AACAGGATGTCAAATGCAACTTTTCCTGTCCTCTCAGGGTTTCAGCAGGGGCCTCATAGGCCAAGATCAAAACAATAGGAGTCAAATACTTCCATATTCCATAGAGAACTCCAAGGCTTATAAAGTGGGGCAGCCAAAAATAGGCTCTGCTAACATCAGTTCACTACCCTTGTCACAACAGTGTAAAAAGAATCATAATTAGTTCATTCATTATAAGGATTATAAGGGACAATATAGACAACTTCTTTTAAAAAATTAGGCGGTGTGTATTTCCTTGCCTCCCAAGGGAAAAGGAGGAAGTACTTCCTGCCTATCTCAAGCCCAGGGACTAGAAGCTCAGAATAATCACCCCAAGTGCTTAACTTATACCCAGAACAGGAGAGACACAGGGACTGGGAACCACTCCCATCCAGGGGGAGAAAAGGTGCTGCTGAATTTTAAAGACTGCTTAGGTAAACAGTCAAATTAAATGTTTCAGCAGAAGAGGAAGTTTTATGAAACTCCAGAATGTGGAAAATGACATATAAAAGTAACTTTAATCACACGAAACTTCACAATTCCATTAAATTAATGCAGTGTTAGTCCATATAATCACATGAAGTGTATCTTAACTTTTTGATCTAATTATCCTTTTTAAAACCTCTTCTATAGTAAGAAATAACTGTCCCAAATTAGAACTTTTAAACTTTACAAAATAGCTTCAAAATAACTCTATAGTAACATAGTTTTAATTTAATTTTATTTTTAAAAGATTTTATTTATTTATTCGAGATAGAGCCAGCATGAGGGTGGGCATTGGGAGAGGGAGAAGCAGGCTCAGGACCTAGGCATCATGACCTGAGCAGAAGGCAGATGCTTCATTGTCTGAGCCACCCAGGTGCTCCAGTAACATAGTTTTTAAACCACAAACTCATGCTTGGCTAAGTTCTTCTTAGTAGCAAAATCCTTACTTCTCATAGTGTGCAAAGGTTGGAAAAAAATTCCAGAAAGTAAAAAGAAAAAAAATTGTTTTTAATTTTTAAATACTATAAACTACTACTACTTTTTAGAAATTTTGAAAATAGAGAAAATGAGGGGAAAACACCTCTAAGTCTACCACCTCCAGCACAATCACTGGTGTATTTTGGTCTATTTCCTCCCTGTCTTTTTTCATAAATATATTTTTATATAGTAGTAATTACAGTATATATGTATTCACATCCTGCCTTTTTTTAGTGTTAAGTAAAAAAAAAACCACTTTTCAGGGGTTTAAAAGTATAGACATAACAAGCTCTCCTAAAAACATACATCCGCATCCACTGAATAATGTAACTTCCAATCTAACTCTAAAGCCAAATTGCCAGAAGACCCATTTCTCAAGTTTTCAAATCATCCCCAAATTATACATTCAACTGTTATTTTATCTCCCTTGATGATATAAAAGCAGCAGAAAGTAAAACTACTTTCACATAGTTATTAAACATGTCTCTTATTCCTCAAATTGCCATTTAAAACACATGAAGTATTAGGTCTGTAATATATTAACCTTCAGGCCCAACAATGATCACTTAGAAGCAACAAAGTTACTTCCCTTCCCCTCTTCTTCCCTGGACAATTCAGCCCTAAAGCCCTTTGGTGGAACAGAGTAAGGCAGGCACCCATGCCTGATGCTCAGGAGCCGAGAGAGACCAGAGCAGGGGATCAGAGGCACCAGAGCTTGAGAAGCCAGGGCAGCATCCGTGTAGGAGTGCGGTTGGTGTGGACAGCAGGGGCCTGAATGAGGTCAAGAGGGCAGGCCCTGCAGAAGCACAGCCCAGCACAGGATGTTAGCGCCTGAGCAAAGTGAAGGGGTAGCCAGGCTGACGGGTGGCCTGGTGGGTCATCAGAGCTGGGCACACCGGCACAGGGTACTGACAAGTGAACCTCAGGCTGGACTTCAGCCCATTAGCTGGCTGCCAACATGTAACAGACAAGCTACTCAAACAGAACACCTTGACTGAATCCAGGCTTCCCCCCAGCTGAAAGTAGAGCAGGTTTTTTTTTTTTAAGATTTTATTTATTTATTCATGAGAGACACACAGAGAGAGGAAGAGGCACAGGCAGAGAGAGAAGCAGGCTCTTCACAGGAAGCCCAATGTGGAACTTGGTCCCAGGACCCCAGGATCACACACTGAGCAGAAGGCAGATGCTCAACCGCTGAGCCACTCAGGTGTCCCAAGCAGAGTGGGAAACCTTTCTGTGAAGCCTTTCATAACCCAAATTGGTGTCAAGTGAAGACTCACTTATCATTAATGTACATGGAAAATTGAGCTTTCCCAGACCCCCCAAAAATAACCTGTTAGGCTTTTCTGATACCTTAGGACACATCTTGCTAACAGATGCACAAAATAAACTGAGCTAAAGCTCACAGACGCAGTGCAAAGCCATGGTGGCTGGATGCTGAGTGTAGCTCCTGGGGAAGGAGCTCCGCAGAGACATTAGCTGCCTGGTGAGGTGGGCAGAACTGCATCTATAATAGCTCAGTTCCATGCAAAACAAACGCTGAACACTATTTTCGCTTTTTGCCTTTTTTTTCTTTTTAAGATTTTATTTATTCATGAGAAACAGAGAGAGAGAGAGAGAGAGAGAGAGAGAGAGAGAGAGAGAGGCAGAGACACAGGCAGAGGGAGAAGTAGGCTCCATGCAGGGAGCCTGACGTGGGACTCGATCCCAGGTCTCCAGGATCATGTCCTGGGCTGAAGGCAGCACTAAACCGCTGAGCTATCAAGACTGCCCCACTTTTTGCCTTTCTTTGTAAAAGAGAATGTCCCCTTCAGATTTCTTTCAGTTAGCAAAAACAGGTACTAACGTAGATTCCTCATAAAAGCGAAGTAGCCTAATGTGAACTTTTAAAAAATGGGGGGGGGAGGTACTTGAACCATGCAAATATTAAAATGGATGACGTAGAGATCTATATGCAGATATGGAAAAATGTGCAAAATATAAGCAGGAGAAACAATTTCTCTTGTATGACTTAAAAGAGCACTTAAAAGAGAGAAGTCAGCCTAAGGAGCCCCCATGTCCTCAGGCTCCATTGTTTCCGCTATGGCATACTCAACGCCTAGCTTCTATCTTCATTATCACTTCATGGTTCAAACTAGTTGTTGGTGCTCCAGCTATTCCATCCACATCCCAGGAAATAGAAAGGAAAAAAGGCAGGTTTTTAAAGCAACATTCCTGGAAGTCTCATATAATGTTTGTTTATTGCTCACTGACCAGGACTTCAGTCACATGTCCTGCAATGTGGCCAGCTAAAAAACTGAGTTCTGTTGTTTTGGAGCATGAATATTAGAGTAGGTAAAAAAAAAAAAAATCTCTGTCATACACAAGTTACTTTTGTCCTGATTTACAGACAGAAAACAGAGGTGCAAGTCACATGGTTAAGTGGTAGAGACTGCCACCAGTCGATGTACCTTTCACCCCATATTATGTCCCATTAGAAAATTAATACATGAAAATAAAATACAAACACACTCACAGGAAATTTATATATAATTATAGGCAGTTTATTATTAAATTGGCTTTGATAGATGAGAAAGCACCTACCAAAAGAACAGAACTAAGAGGTAGTCCTCACAAATAGAACAACAGTCACAATGATTTCTCTTGTTTTTAAGTAACCTCTTTGTCCAGTGTGGGGATTGAACTCACAACCCTGAGATCAAAGGTTCCTATGCTCTACTGACTGAGCCACCCAGGGACCCCAACAAATATTTCAAAAGCACTTATTATATGCCAAGAGTTTTCTAAGATCTGGAATTTTTTTTTTAGTGTAACATACATAAAGCACATAAAATCCACTAATCCTAAGTGTACAGCTCAAAGAACTTTCACAGATGAGTATTTTTGTGACACCACTAATCATCCTCCAGAGGGAATCACCAATCTGACTTTGCTATCCATCGATTAGTTTTACCCTTTCTTGAATTTAATTTAAACGTCAACCATACAGTAGTATTACTCTGTATGTGGTTTCTTTCATGCAAAATAATGTATGTATGATTTACTCATGTTGTGTATATCAGCAGCTTTCACCCCCCCTTTCATTGCTGAGTATTATTCCATCCAATGGAAACACCAGCATTTAAGAACCCATTTTCCTTTCAAGTGACATGTACATTTGTTCCAGGTTTTGACTATTATGAGGAAAATTCTTATAACATTCTTCTTCAATATACATAATCACTTATTTCTCTTAGGTATTCTCTAGGAGTAGAATTGCTGGGTTATAGGTTAGACATATGCTTCACTTTAATAGACATTGCCAAAGACTTTTCGCTATACTCATTTACACTCTCTCTAGCAGTCCACAAATTCTAGTCACTCCACAATCTCACCCCAGCACTTAACACTGTTAGTCTTCTCCATTTTGGCCATTCTGTTATGCAGTGGCATCTCGTTGTGGTTTCCATGTAAACTTTACAAACTCATTTATCTCTTACCATGCCATGCCACACATCCTCTATCACCATAGAATCATACTCTGTCCTTTTAAAAAAATGTTTAGAATATTTTATTTATTTACTTGACACAGAGAGAGAGAGCAAGAGAGCACAGGCAGGAGGAGCAGCAGGCAGAGGGAAAGGGGGAAGCAGGCTCCCTGCTCAGCAGGGAGCCTAATGCAGGGCTCAATCCCAGGACCCTGGGATTATGACCTGAGCCAAAGGCAGACACTCAACTGACTGAGCCACCCAGGTGCTGCCCCATGCTTTATTTATTTTTTTCCCCATGCTTTATTTTTTAAAGTGACTTTTACAGATCATCATGCTCTCTTGGAATTAAGCATAATAAATTCCAAAAACATTACTATCCAAAACAGGTCAGTTGGAGAATATTCTAGGTCAGTCCTCTTCCACTATAGATGGCAATTTCAGTCATAAATATAAATAAAAGATGACAGAAAAGCCAGGAGTGTGTGGAATCATGGAAGCCAAAGGAAGAGAATCCTTCAAACAGAAAAGAATGGTTAATAGTGACAGATACACCATTAAAAGGTCCAATAAGATAGAAATACCTGAGTGCCTCAGTCGTTGAGCAACTGACTCTCAGTTTTGGCTCAGGTTTTGACCTCAGGGTCCTGGGATTCAGCTCTGTGTCAGACTTCCCACTCAGCAGGGAGTCTGCTTAAGGATTCTCTCTCCCCTTGTCCCTCCTCACCCTGCTTGCGTTTGTGAGTGTGCATTCTCTTAGGTAGATAGATAAGACAGTTTTTTTTTTTAAGGAAAATAAGCTTTATTACATCAAGTAATAAATACATACAAAGATGCAAACAGTTTTAGTCATTTTCTTCCAGATGTTTGGATCAACTTACAGGAAAAGCAGAACTGAAATCCACAGTCTTAGTAGGAAAATTTTGGTGGGGGAGGGGGAGTTCTTGTTAGGTTAGGTTTGGTAGGTTGCTCTTTCTTCTGTATTTATAACTTGTGCATTTTTTAAATTGACCTCAAGGCACTAATAGTCATGAAAGCAAATGCTTAATTAAGCTCAAAAGAAGTTACATTAAGCAGAATCCACACCATGTGGCAAACGTATGCACTCAAAACAAAACCCTCAGAGTTGTATTAGCTTATGAAAGATAATGTAAAACAATCTGAGTAACTTAAGTGTACTCCAAAAAAGAGGATGAAAGGAGCTGGGATATCTGCTGTGAGATAGGGATCTTTTACGTGCATCTTTTAAATCAATGCTTAAAAAAAAAGAAAACAAAAAAAATATAAATGCTTAAAAAATAAAAATAAAAACAAAAAACCCTGGGTAATTCCTATTTAAAATGTAAATCCTAGTCATCTGCAAAGTATTTCTCAATCTCAGAGCCTCATGAACCATGGGAGGGACACGGGAAGGAGAAACCAAACTGTTACCGTTTTGAAAACGTTTCATCTGAACATGGGAGATGAGCTGTAACTTCTGGTCTTGGAAGAAGACGGAAAAACCTTCCACGCTGATAGGCAGCTAGGACCTGGCATTCCGTTCCATCTCACCAAGCACTCTCGAACCAGTCCTCTGGCGTGAATGATGCCTCGTTTTAGTCTCTCCATGGCACTCTTGCTCCCTGCATAGGTGGGTCTAATCTCTTTCCCCAACTCTTCAATGATGGCCAGCAGCTCAGCATATTTGCTTTGGGGTACCTGGCTGTTCCCAGTTCCCTGGGTATAACCTAGAGATGGTGGCCCGTAGTCACTCAGCAGCTGGCGGTACTGGGAGGATGTGGCCATACTGGTGGAGGGTGGGTGGACATTCCCAGTGGCGCTGAGGGAGGCGGCGGGCATGTGCGCGGCCAAGTTTGGTTTGTAAGACATCCATAAGACAGGTTTTTAAGAATCATTTTATAAAAGGAGTACCTTGGTGGCTCAGTGGTTGAATGTCTGCCTTTGGCTCATGTCATGATCCCGGGGGTCCTGGGATCAACTCCCTGCAGGAAGCCTGCTTCTCCCTCTGCCTGTGTCTCTGCCTCTCTCTCTGTGTGCCTCTCATGAATAAATAAACAAAATCTTTTTTAAAAATTTTTTTTAAAAAGGTAAAGACTTGAGTGTCTATTGGTCATTAGGATCTGGGCAAGAGCAGGGTCAATGGCATGAGGAACTAAGAAGTGGATGGGGAAAAAAAGAATGGGAACAGCAACTGGATACAATCCTTTCAAGGAGTTTATCCACGTTAAGCAAGTGGACAACAGAGTGGGGTTCAGCTAACCAGGAACACAGGGTTCAGGAAAGTTTTTTGGGGTGGGAATAGAAAAGAATTAAGCTTGTTTAAACACTAGTAGAAAGGAGTCAGTAGAGAAGAGAAAAACAAAGGTCTGAGAGCTAAGCCAAAAAGGGAGAGAGGGTGCAGAACCCGATTGGAGCTGCAGGGATTAGCATGTGACAGGAAGAGGGACAGCTCTTCCACTGGAACAGAAGGGAATGAGGAAAGAAAGGTAAGGATGTGCATTTGAAGGTGGAAGGGCTGTACACTGATGAATGTCCCCTCTGATGACTGCTCTTCTCCCTTTGAAATTACAGGTGAGATTACCTGCTGACAGTAACATGAGAGGGGAAAAAACAGAGGTAGAGAAAGTTTAAGATAGGCATGGTGTAGAAAAAAGAAGCAAGAATCTCCAGGTTCCCTAAGCAGAGAGTTCTTAAAAAGAAGAGTTAGGAACTAAACCTTTGAGAACATGAAACTTTCTTTTTTTTTTTTTTTAAGATTTTACTCATTTATCCATGAGTGACACAGTGAGAGAGAGGCAGATACACAGGCAGAGGGAGAAGCAGACTCCCTGTGGGGAGCCCAATGCAGGACTCGATCGCAGGACCCCAGCCAGGATCATGACCTGAGCCAAGGCAGACACTCAACCACTGAGCCACCCAGGCATCCTGAAACATGAAACTAGATGGGAAACTGTAAATGAGCAGAAAGGACAAAACCAGGTAATGACTGGGCAAGACTAGGGAGACCTAACAGGATCAGGATAATGTGGACCACAGATACCATGGAAGGAAAATGTACTAAAAAAAAAAAAAAAGGACGAGGCACATCAGTGTCTTCTAAGTAAGAAGACTAAAGACTGAGAAAGGTCAGCAAGGACAGATAACAGGTAACTAAAGCTTAGGAAGATAATCAGTGAGCAAATGGAGCAACGACTGATACAACATCTACTGTAAAGTCAATGAGATGATTAAAGACAAAAGGACTAAGTAACTTCAAACACAATGTTTTAAAGTTGGGGGAAGAAACCTATACATTTTTAAAAAGTGCAGCCAAAAAAAAAAAAAAAAGAAGGAGGATAAATACATGGAAGAGGGCTTGGGGAAAGTTCAGTGAAGCTTCTTCATGGAAGAAAGAGGCTTAGGAGTCCAAGAAGGACGGCAGCTCTGATGGAAGTGGAAGAAAGACAAGAGGGTGTGTGTAGCATAATGAAGACTCAGACCAAGTCAGGTAAACTCTCTCATACCAAGTCAGAGAAGCTTGCTCATGGGGTACTAGGCCTTAATCTATGAAAATAAAATAGCCTGGCTATTTTAGAGAAAAAAGCCTGGCTACTTGAGGATAAAGTCTTTAAGAGCTGCTTAATGGTTGGACATTGGACTGAAGTTATAGCATGATTCATAGAGGGTCTGGCCTAGGTGATTCTTCATCTCCCTCCTAAAGCTGGACATGAGAGTGAACAAAATAAGCTGGGGCCAAAGACAGGAAAACTAGGATTTTTCTCCACTCAGGGGAAAGCCTCGCTTCTTGGTGTGCATAATGGAAGATCAGTGGAGCCAAGCAATCTGGTGATATGACGAGGGCAAAACTGAAGTCTCAGATACCAGGTGAAGGAGAGGCATGTTTGTTGGGGAGAAACTGGGCTTAAGGGAATCAACAAACACAAGGAAAGTAGGAACACATAATATTAACAGGGGAAGAGATAGGGTGAATGATCATAAATTTTTGGGGTCGGGGGAATCAAAGAGGGATCATTTAAGGGCAGGAACAGCAGAAGCATATGTTGACCTGGCTTCACAGACTAGGCACACACCATGCCCAAGATTCTGGAGCCTGCTTCGTGAGAGAGGACTGCCTATTGAATCGAGTCCTTCCTCCTGCACTATAGGTCAATGTTTAATGAACTGTCCTAACCAAACCCGGGGCAAGAAATACATTTGTTGTCACCACACGCACGCGCGCACACACACACACACACACACACACACACACACACACCTCGGAAACAGAAGTTGCACAAAACAATTACCCTTACTACAATACGATAAAGTAAAACATAAAGTTAACATAAAATATTATGTTACCATGATACAAATACATCTAAAATTCCAAAATAAGTAATATAAAAATTAAAATTAAAAAAGATTCAATGTAATGCAACAAGTGACCTTTCCTGTTCATAAATTAATTACAGTCTGAAAAACACAAAAACAGTACATACTTATCAGGTTCACTACAGAGTCTTTTATTCTTTTGCTTTAAATTGGGTCAGGGTTGAAAATACGAGTTGAAACAAGAAGTTGATGTGAATGGCAAAAATAGTACTACATTCTTTCTACTTTGCAATGGAAATTCTTTGGTCTTAATAGAAAATGATGATAAGCAATGTCATATAATCATTCTTCAGAGTAGTTGAAGATCTAAGCCACAAAAATTCATTTTCTTGACAAACTAAAAGCCCAGTGCAATTTAGAATATCTGTGATCCCACCACTTTGGATTGTGATATCTGTACCAGACTACAGCCACCTTATCAGCATTGATGAAACATCCCATAATGGTACAGAATGGAGGTATATCATCGCTAAGAGGTGAAATCCTAGTGTTCAGTTGATTTATCATCAAAAGTAATAAACATAACATCCATGCATTCTAGATGAATATTTTTTTCCAACAGGTATGTAGCCATTTTTCTCTTATGCCACTGATAGGCAACTAAATAAAACAAGAATGAATCTTTCCCAGGAATGGTCCTGGGAAAAGAAAATTGAGAAAATTTTACTTTTTTTCTTTGAAAATACTTGAAAAGGCTTACTGAAAAGTCTAGTATCTTTTTAATTTTACGATTTTGCTACATTTTGCTTAACCTTGAATTATGCTAGTCTAAATGAACTGTGCAATGAGAACCACTGCATTATGATCATGTGCAAATGGACCATCCCTTTAATTCACATAATGTTCCTCTTTTGTTCCATGTTACCCCTTACAGTTGAAGTAGGGACCAGAGAAAATGGAGTTTCAATAAACACTGTTGCAGAGCAGGCTGTGGCATTTCCTCTCAGCAGGTCATCTTATCATTGGCCTTAACAGACCCTTATATAATCAGAGTATTAAAGAATACGGATAAGTATTTCAAAATAAAATTATACTTCACATTGCTAAGTAACCAATTCAGACATATCCTAGATAACCAGAGTTTTTTGTTTTTTCACACTCTGGTGGAAAAAAAGAAAGAGAAGAAAAAGCACATCTAAGTAGCTGCAAGAATCATACACACATAACCCAATCTGTTCCAAATTTTAACATCCACAAAGCAAAAAATCCAGACATATGCCATTTCTATGAATTTAAACTTCAAAGGAAAATTGATAATTTTCCTCTATATCTGTTGTAAAAACGTTTATCACTGTTATAAAAACCTCGAAATATAACTTAAAAAAATAGAGCATGGGGTGCCTGGATGGCTCAGTCAGTTCAATGTCTGCCTTTGGCTCAGGTCAGGGTCTCGGGGTCCTGGGCACAGGGTTGGGCTCCCTGCTTTGCAGGGGAGTCTGTTTCTCTCTCTCCTCTACCCCTCCCCTCTGCTTGTGTTCTTTTGCTTTCTCTCTCAAATAAATAAATGAAATCTTTTTTAAAAAAATAGAGCATAAACGATAACCTTTAATTAATATAAGTGGCTTTATGCTGCCTGAACTGAATGCCAAAAAGTCTATTTTCAGGCTGCTATCCAGGAATCTAATAAGGAAAAAAATACTGAATTTCTTCCTCAAAAATAGAGAATGCAAGAGACACATCTGGGATAGCTAGATGTTTATACAGCTAGCTTACAAAGTAAGTCCTTTGTATTTCCTTCTCCTATCTCACCATGATTTACTACTTAATCCTCCAATCTTACAATCTGCTATAATGCCTGAGAAGTGAAGAGGAAAACTTCATGTTTTCTTTTCCTTAGGATAAAAATTACTCATTTAAGTCAGAGAGGAAAAAGACAAAAAAGATTCCATCCTGTCTAACCCTCTGGGTCCCAGTGCAGGGCACTCCTTCAAGTTTTGGTTTTTTATTCCACGCAGTGTTCAATATTCCCCACTTTAATTGAGGCAAACAGATCACTATTTTACTGGTTTAATGAGGAGCACTGAATACTGAAATATATTTTCAAACATATTTTTGGTCCTGACATTGTACAACTTAGTCTATTTCTCTGTATCCCAGGTCCCAAAACAATAAAGGGAATACATTCCACCTACTCCATGTGACATATGGAGGGATGAATTTAAAATTTTCATGTTGCCTGCATGAGGTGCAACGTTGAAGAACTTTTTAAAAATTTTTTAACTCAACTTACAAATCTAAATACTTGAAAAGAACACCCCTTATGAGAGGATCAGCCAAATGTGGCCCACCACTTGTATTTGTATGGTCTCTGAGAAAAGACTGGTTTTTATGATTTTTAAATGGCTGAAAAAAAATTAAAAAGCATAATATTCTGTGACACATGAAAATTATGTGAAATTCAAATTTCAGTGTCCGTAAATAAATTTTTATTGGAACACGGCCCATGCTCATTCATTGAAGTATTGTCTATGGCTCTTTTCAGCAGAATTGAGTACTTAGAGAGATGTATGGCCCACAGAGTCTAAAATATTTACAGAAATATTTTACAGAAAAAGTACAGAAAAAGTTTGCCATTCCCTGCCT